GGGGGGAGTAGAGATGGGAAGGGATGGGAAGGGGAAACAAAGGAGGAGGCAACAATGCTTGATAAGAAATGTACTCATCATCTTGCCCATGTAATTGTAACCCCTCTGTATGGTATTTTCACAATAAAAAAAAAATCCTGGATGGAAATGTGATTCAAGTGGTAGAACACCAGCCAAATAAGCATAAGGCCACGTTAAAAACCTCAGTGCAGCAAAAATAATAAACTTATGTTAGAAAAGATAAAACTAAACTATTTTCAAGTGACATAATCATAATTACATTTACTCCTTTGCCATACAAAGAACCAAAGCATCCGTGAAAACAAGATTCAAAATAAACATAAACATCATTTTTCCTAAGAAAGAAATATGAACTCTAGAATTTATTACTAAGTTTGAAAAAATTAGTAAAGAAAGATTGTACCTGAGTCATTTGGCCCTGTGCTTTTGTAAGCTGAGTTGTTCGAATATTTAAAGATTGGCTTCTCATTACAGTTGCCCCAGAAAGGGATTTTCCATTCACCTTTCTTTCCAGGTGACAACTTGATGGTGATCTCTCTTCAAGAAGAACAGCATCCCAAGGATCTTCAGCTAGTAAACGTGGAAAATTTTTCTCTTCATCGTGATCTACTACTTCCACATTGTCTACCTTAGGCTTACTAAGAGGATCCAAGTCTAACCAGTCAAATTTACTAATATCCCCAGGTTTTGGAGATGCCTGTAGATTGCTGACTGTAGCTTTTGAATTTGTTATTTCCAAATCAGTCCTTGCTTTCCCATTTTTTAAAAATTCTGATGTACTAGCTATTTTGTCAAATAGTTTTGCCATATCAGGACTAACTACTGGCCGACAGACTGGTAAGCCTCCTTGTGGATGAAAGGGTGTAGCAGGTGTCAAAGGATATGAAAAATAAGGAGACTGTCCTGGAAGTCTCAAATATATAGGTTCTGTAGATGGAAAAGGAGGCATTCTTGGGTTGAAGCCGTTCTGGAATGCAGCCTGCTTACTGTAAGTTGAAGGATAAATAGAAGGTAAAGTATAAGCAGAAGGCCCCGATAAGCCAGGTGGCCACTGTCCTCTTTGAATTGTGGGCCTAAGATAGAACTGTGCTGAAAAGGAAGGGCTCAGAACAGGAACAGGAGTAACAGGCAAAACAGGTGTTTTCCTAGTCTCAAAACTGTCATCCAGCAATAGTTTCTCAAGTTCAGCTGGGGTAAGTTTTTCTATGTCAATGTCTGCTGTTCGTTTGGGGGAATCTGACTCAGGAAACACCATGAGATCATAATCCTGTTTGTTAAAAACTTGTGCTCTTTGTCTGCTGCTGCTTGACAATTCATAGCCCCTCTGATATTCAGTCACTTGTCTATCCTTTTGTAGTTTTGCTAAAGCTTCTGCTTCCATCTGCAATGCTTCTTCTTTGTCCACATCTTTTGTTCTTGTTGGTTCCAGATGTGAAGAAGGTGAACACTGTTTAAATCCACTGTTGTTAGATATCTGAGCCATGTCCACTAAAAAGACAAGCCTTTCCCTAATCTTATTTTTTCTTGTAGTTTCCAAATAATCAAGACCTATACATAAAAATAAACATAACACTTAATTAGATTTTCTAAACACAACTGATTTTGCTTGAAACCTACCCCACATTACTTAAGATTTGAATCCACTGACCAAAAATATACTATTAAATAAAATGAACAGCAGTGAAACCTAAATGAATATCATATATTCTGTTGGGTTCAGGAAGATGCACAGGCCCTATTTCTTGACCTAACAAAAACTGGCATAACAAGTAAACTTAAGAGAAGCTTTGATTTCAGCTGTCACAATGGCTACCATTAACCAGTGGATTTCTCAGTGAATTCTTTTTTTGTTTATGTCGGTGGTGGAGAATGAACTCTGGGCCTGGGCGCTGTCCCTCAGGTCTTTGGCTCAAGGCTAGCGCCCTACCACTTGAGCCACAACGCCATTTCCAGCTTTTCTCCGTTTATGTGGTGCTGAGGAATCAAACCTAAGGCTTCATGCATACGAGGCAAGCACTCTACCACTGAGCCAACTTCCCAACTCTGAATCCTTGAACTGAAATAACTTAAGTACTAATCACATATTTTCTGGAGTTCAGATACAGTTTGCCATTATCCAAATAGCAAGTCAAAATGGTGGTACTTCCGCTATTTGTTAAAATTGCTCAAAGACCAATTAGCAAGGAAAGCATCAGATAACTACGCAAACAAATAGGAAATATTATTTAATCAAAATATGTGAAAAACTGATTTGGGTTTATAATATTCGAGAAATATTAAAATATATAACATACTTTAGAATTAGACAAAAATGTTAAGACTGTAAGAAGCAACAATATTTCAAAGGTAATATTATGCCTAAATTCATTATAAACCAAAAGTTCTTTTTAAGATCCTTAAATAATTTTATTCACAAAAAATTAGAACTTTCTTTTATTTTTAAGCACAATGAATCAGTTAATAAAATCTACAAGGTTGAATGTCAGTGGTTTACATTTGTAATCCTCGTTACTCCAGAAGCAGAGACTAGGAGGATCACAGATCAAAGTCAGCAGAGCAAAAATTTCATGCAACCCCATCTCAACCAATAGCTGGGGACAGTGGCACATACCTGTCATCCCAGCCATGTAAAAGGCTAAGATCTAAAGCATTATGGTTCCAGTCCAGCTGGGTAAAAAAAGAGGAAAAAAAGAGGTTAAAAACAACAACAACAAAAAAACACCAGGTTGAGTATGTAGAAAAAAGCCAGATGCAGCTATGACAAGTAGATATATCTAAAAGCATCAAATAGGCAGATCTCAGTGTAGGCCAGCCTAGGTGAAAACTGAGATCCTAATCACCAAAAGGGCAAGAGGTATGGCTCAAATGAAAGAGTACCTACCTAGCAAATCTAAGATTCTGAGTTCAAATCCTAGTACCTGACCAACCACCAGTGGCTAAGGTTTGGAAGATCATGGCTCAAAGCCAGTCTAGGTAGAAAAGTCCTTGAGATTCTATATCTTCAATTTAGCAGCAAAAAAAGCTGTACTGGAAGTGTTACTAGCCAAGAGCAAAAAAAGTTAAGTGTTCAAGTCCCAGTACACACACACACACACACACACACACACACACACACACTAGCTGGAAGTGTCACACACACACACACACTAGCTGGAAGTGTAGCCTAGCTGGAAGAGTACACACACACACACACACACACACAACACACTAGCTGGAAGTGACACACACACACACACTAGCTGGAAGTGTAGCCTGGAAGTGTAGCCTAGCTGGAAGAGTACACACACACACACACACACACACACACACACTAGCTGGAAGTGACACACACACACACACTAGCTGGAAGTGTAGCCTAGCTGGAAGAGTACACACACACACACACACACACACACACTAGCTGGAAGTGACACACACACACACTAGCTGGAAGTGACACACACACACACTAGCTGGAAGTGACACACACACACACACTAGCTGGAAGTGACACACACACACACACACACTAGCTGGAAGTGTAGCCTAGCTGGAAGAGTATGTCTCAAGTGGCAGAGCCCTAGTTGAGAGAATAAGCAAGTCAAGCAACTAAAAAGCTTTCAGTCCAAACCCTAGTAGTAGCAAAGAATGAAAGAATGAATAAGAGAGAGGGAGGGAGGGAGAAGGGAGGGAAGGACAAGATCTACAACCATCCAACAATTCTCACAGGTTTTTCCTAAATGTACTACCCTGAAGGCTCAAAGAGATCCCATAGAGGTATTCGGGCCCCCAGGAGTTGGAGACAGTCATCATCCTAGGAGGGCTGGCAGGTGAGCAGAAAGAAATTCCAGGCATTCTAACCTTTCACCTACTGAAAGTTTGAGATAAAGCAGAAAAGGCCCTCCAATGTATTTCAGGTCTTCATGGGATAAAAACAGCAGCCACCCAGAGGCAAAGATAAAGACCACAAGGCATATCTGAGAGACACAGACAAGAAGCAGGACAAAGGAACAAGGAAAACTTCCAGGGCCCCAAAAGGCTGAGAGCTATACTGAAAAATACAAGTCTCTATGATAATTTCAGTGTTCAGATCCCATAGGTCCTATGGTTTCCTTATTTGCAATAACTAGTATATGTCCAGGACAAGCAGAAAAGTATTTCAGGATGAAGAACTGGGCACAGTGGTTCATACTTGAGGCAGGATGATCTCTAGATCAAGGAGAACTTGGGCTACAAAGGAGACCTTGTCCAAAACAAAACAAAACAAAACCCAAAGCTGGGTACTGATGCAAACCTATAACCCCAGGCCAGCCTGGCAAAAACCTGAGACCCTGAAAAACAACTAAAAGAAAAAGAAGTGTTGGGGACATGCCTCAAGTGGTAAAATGTCCATGTACCTAACTCAAGACCCTGAGTTCAAACTTAGTACCTAAATTAAAGACAGACAGACAGACAGACGACAGGCATAGACAGGAAGGACTTGCAAACATGAAATTATATCAACAAAAAATACTCAAACTGACAGAGACAAGGCAGAGGAGTGGGCAGAATATCATATATGAGTTCTGTGGGCCAATTTCAAGTGGTCTAATGTAACATGTACTTTAGAATTCAAGGGCAGGACATTGATGATTCACTCCTGTAATCCTAGCTACTCAGGAGGCTGAGATCTGGGGATCATGGTTTGAAGTCAGTCCAGGCAGAAAAGTTCAACTGAAAATGGACCTGTGGATCAAGAGGTAGAGTGCTAGACTTGAGCAAAAAAACTTAGGCGGCACCCATGCCTTGAGTTTAAGCGCCAGATCTGGGGTGCACATGCACAACACCCTCGTCTGCCCCCCCGCCCCCCCCACACACACATGAAGAGAGTCCAACAAAGACAGGACAGAAAAATAGGACAGAAGATATATGTGAAGGGAAAACAGCCAAGAAATTTCCACAGGTGAAGAATGACATCAACCAAAGCAACCTAAAAAGCTCAGTGAAGCCTAAGCATGATAAAAACACTGAGAACCAACCTTACAGGCTCACTGATTAATGAAGATTAAATGACCACTTGAAGAAATGGCTTCATTTCTTATTAATATATGTGAAGTTAGAGCCAAACCAATTATTCCTAAAGAAACCAAGTTGGCTTTATATTTTTTATTCTATGAGATGGCTAACTTGAATAAGCCTGACTTTTTAATCTGATTTGTAGTCTCTAGTTTGATTTACTTTACCACTGGATCAAAATACTTTGGGGTGAGGGGTTCTATTGCCAGCCCACGAACAAAATAAACTTTGGGGCAGAATCATGATTTTCTCTTCAGCAAGGTATTATTATTATTATTTTGCCTCTCCTGGGGCTTGAATTCAGGATCTTGGCACTATCCCTGAGCTTCTTTTGCTCAAGGCTAGCATTCTACCACTTGAGCCATAGCACTATTTCCAGCTTTTCTGTTTATGCGGTACTGAGGAATTGAACCCAGGGCTTCATGAATGCAAGGCAAACAACATTCCCCTGGTTTTATAGTCTGTATAAAGAATTTAGCCCCACCTTCAGGGCACTGGTGGTTTATAAAAGTAATCCTAGCTATTTAAGAGGTTGAGATCCCTGGCAAATAAATTTGCAACTCCTATTTCCAGTTAATCAGCAAAAAGCAAGAAGTGGAACTGAAGTGGTAGAATGCCAGCCTTGAGGGAAAAAATAGCTAAGTGACAGCACAAGGCCTAAGTTCAAGCCCCAGCCTGGGCAAGACAAACATACACACACGAATTCAGTTTTACCCAAAAATTAAGTCTTGTCTTTGCCCAGGGAAGTAGTCTATGTCATACTTGATAGGAGTGTCAGTGCTTAGGGAGAGACTGGCCTTACAGAAAGACTAACCATGTGATAGAGGTGGGGATTTCCCATCACTCAGTCAGTCTGAACTCAAAAGACTTAGTTTAGCCTCATTGATGATGTACCAATCAATGGTGCCTATGTAATGATACTGCAATTAAACAACAACAACAAAAATCTGCCCATTAAAGTTCAGGCAAGCTTTCCTGGTCAGCAATAATTCATATGCATGCACATATACATTTGTGCCAGGAGAGTAATATAACCTTACTCCAAGAGGAGAGAATATAAAAAACCTCCACATTTGGAGCCCTTCTGGGTTATAGTCTACTCCCTTCCTTGACTAATTCTAATCTGTATCCTTTCTCTGTAATGAACAATAGCTATGAACATACTAACTTTCAGTAAGTTTTATGTATCCTTCTAGCAAGACATAAACCCAAGGCTAGTTTTAGAACCTCTCGCTCCAATCGCAGTTGTGTCTAGTTGTGTTTATTCAGGGCCTTATACCGATTCAGTTTGCTTGCTCATCTAGCCCTCTACCACTTGAGCCACACCTCCATCCCTGATTATTTAGAGATGGAGTCTCATGAACTTTTCTTCCTGAGTGGGCCTTGAACTGAGATCTTTGGCTTTTAGCCTCTTGAGTAGCCTTGATTACATGTCTTAGCCAAAAGTGCCTGTCTCCAAGAGTAATTTTTTTTTCCAAGAGTAATTTTTAATTAGTTAAGTAATTTACTATTTT